ACGTCTGCTGATGAAACCGGCGCCCCCCCCTCCGAGTGATTTATTGGGGAGATCTAACACTCGTTGCGGTCACCAATAAAATCCCATTAAACTTGTGTTTAATGTGACAGGGCCTGGCCCGGGGGTATGTGATTACTGCGGCTGCGATGATGCCCTTTGCATACTACTATCCGTCCGGTGTGCCAGACCGCGGGAAAAAGCTACGGTTCACTAATCAGGTAATTCTAATAAAATAAAGCTAAACATGCATTGCATCCCGGGAGTTTTGCTTGCTTTTGGAAGAACTGTCTGTAGAAGCAGGCGTTAACAGCCCGCCGTTTGAGAGCGGCGGGCGAGCGATTAGTTGTTTAAAGCCTGGCTAATTGCAAAGTGAAACAGCTGCCTGTGGGGTCTTTGAGGGAGATTTGGTTTAATGAAGATGACACCCAAAAGAAAACTGTGTTCCTGTACTGGACTCATAAGAAGAAAAAGTTGTCATTTCGTGTTTTTCATGTACAGGTACTAGGGTTTAAAAAGACTCCTGTAGAAGTTGAAGTACCAACTCAAGCTTTTTACTTAAGTAAAAGTATAAAAGTACTGGTTTCAAAACTACTTAAAGTATAAAAGTAAAAGTAATGTAAGAAATTCCATTAAGGACAAACTCTTAATGCGTAACCTCGCTCACACAACACGTCAGTCTGTTACAATGTGATCAGAAGGTGCCTGCAGATCACGTGACCTGCCGTTGGGATGGTGGAAACAACAACAACAACAACAAATGTATCTGACTTAAACAGATAAAACCACAACCCATTTTCCAGTGACACGAGTCACACACACGTTGTTCGCATCGATTCGGTAGACTGCAGTGTCTCCCCCAGGTTTACTACGTCAGGGGGGGGGGGGGGGGCACCCCTGTTTATAATGATGGGAAACACTGAACTGGCATCGGTCGGTTATCAAAACATCGGCCAAATAACCAGTATGTTCAGGCTTCAGCGCAATAAGACACACATCACTTTATTTAATACGCTACTTGCAAGTCGCTGTGTTGTGACTCTCAATAAAACATTTAGGACAAACCCACGGTCATGAAGATACTCATCTAACGTTACATGGAATCTGCGTGAGGAAGAGGAGGAGGAAGAGGAGGAGGCTCCATGTCGCTAAATACCAACTTTCCAAAGACCACTTTTCCCACCCGGTGTCGCTTCGATCTGCAGGCGCATCGCGGAGAAAACCAATCGGGTGTCTGGATGCTAAATGTTTATATTCTCATCCAAACAAAATCACATGCACTCTGTCCGGATAACGCGATTTATCTAGATTTATAGGTTTTTTTTGTCTTTGTGTTTTTGAACTGCGACAAGCCTGAAGTAACTGTAAAGACAGTTACTAAAATGTAAGGAGTAGAAAGTACAGATATTTGCGTGAAAATGTAAGGAGTAGAAGTAAAAAGTCGTCTGAAAAATAAATAATCCAGTAAAGTATAGATACCCAAAATTTCTACTTAAGTACAGTAACAAAGTATTTGTACTTCGTTACTTGACACCTCTGCAAACTACCGAGAAGCTGCAGGCCTCTTCCTCCGTGACCTACGGAGACAATCCCGGAACTAAGAGGAGACCCGCACAGACAACGCACACATCCCTCCAACCCCACAGGCCTATTTCACCCACACTGAGCGAGGGACACATCTTGCACATATCGAACACGTGCGAGGGGGAATTAGATATGAGACGCACGTCTTCCCCCTGTCATCAGTCCCTGTTCTCACTGAACTAAAGGCAATGGCTGTGGCCTTGCCCAGTGAAGAAAACCGTCTTGAACTCCACAACAGATATCAATAATCCATGCAGAATGAGCATCGATTAGCTCTTCAATGAGTTATGCGCGAGTCAGGCGGCCTCTGATTAGATTTCCTCCGGGTATCGCTGCATCGGGGGCTGTCAGTGCATGCAAAGAGGGGTGTCTGGTCTCCTGGTGGTGGGTGGAGGAGCGGGTGGGGTTGTTGGTCCTTAACATGCCCTCGTCAATTCCAGCTCCCGTGACATCGCGCTGCAGCCCTCGGGGGGGAAGGGAGTGGAGGGGTGGGGGGACGCAGTTTGTTATTTTGACACGGGGGGAACGCGAGTCATTGGTGGGAAACCTGTTGCCACCATTTAACTGCCTTGTGCACGCCGCAGTCCTGCAGCGGGACACTGGAGGAAATAATGACGCCTGCGAGGTGGCCTCTGGAAAGTATCCTTGATTTTCTATCTGAAAGTGGAGAGGTGATGTGAGTTTAAGGTGTCCCACTCGACACGTACGGAATCAGTATCAGCTGCGCAGTGGAAATAGAAACAGCATCGGATATGAGGAAATATCCGTCGATGGTGTATTAATGATGTACTCGAGACAACGGATGCATCAATAATAATTTAGAAAGTCAGGGGTTAGATAACTAGACTTTTCCTGACGGCAATTACATCTAAGTGACACGAGCGGGTTCCCCTATTAACAATTGACACTCTTCATTCAAATCAGGTAGTAAATCAGGTATTAGGGTAATTGCACAATATCCGGGTGGCGCTCAGCTCTGTTCCAGAGGAGAGCTTTTGAAAACAAGGCCTGTCACTGCTTTTCCCAGCTCTTGATTAATGACCCTAATTTAGCAGTTTTTTATCCAATCATGCTTTGACATTTCCTATCAGATGAGTCCTTCGTCATCCTCTCCGTTGTTTACCTCCTGACAGTGCAATCTGCCGAAGTGGCCTCTCGTTTGCGACTCCCACGTCCAGATGACGTTTGAGCAGTCTTGCGTAACAACCTCCTCTTTACACGGAGCGGCGTCTCTAAAGCACGCCCGCGTTCACAGGGATTTTATGCTTTTTCCTTCCGCCGTGCAGTGAAAATTGGGACGGGGAGCTTTTTTTGGGGTGGAAATGCCATGCGAGTGGAGTCCGGTGTCAGGTAA